AACTATAGTGTTCCAGCACGGATTTTGTGACATCTACCTTCACTTGTCATTATCATCTACTTTCGTACGTACCAAAGGTGAGGCATGTATAGCTAGCTATACGCCACCACAAAATAAGGTTATTTTTTGAATGTGTGTTTTCGTTCAACTGTGACAATGCTCCTGCTAGTCTGCTTCTTAAATTTCGTTAGCATCTAACGTTGGGGTTTTTGTCTTTAGTCTTGCTTTAATTACGAATGATTGAAGTTTTAAAACAGTTGAACTAAACGCATGGTTTTTCCAGCACTAAATAAGAGACGAACATCGTAACCAATAAGATATTTCTTAATATTAAATACTAACATGATGAGAATATTCTTATCTTGTTACATTTTTAATCCAGCTCCGTCTTCTCCGCTATGTGTATTAATTCTTATTAAACTTGTACTCTGTATTTCCACCGCACACCCTTACCCCTCCACCTCGCCCCCATAACCTGCTCTTCCCTCGCCATAAAGAGCTGAGGAACGCGAGAGCAGTCATGGCGGCGCACGTTTCTCTAAGGCGATCACAATTTATGGCCAGTTTCCTTACTAATTAATTGACCATTAAATGAAGCTAAATAATACTTGAGCGTATCCACGCTGCGGGCCCGTAGCGTGGATACGCTCGCGTGATCCAGCCATTGCTTTCCATTAGATCAGCGCCGACACGCAGCGTGTGCGCATGGGGGGGCGATGCTCGTTTCTGCGGATCAACGATGCGATTTTTCTTCGGGGGTCTTGAATTAATCTTAGTCGCGATCAAGAGTGTATTTATTGTACCTGAATGCGCGCTGAAAATAAACTCGATATTTGTGATAAATTGTTATACAGAGCAAGTGATGGCTTCACTAGATGTCGACACGTACAGTACAAACCTTATTTGCATGCGTGATCCAAAATTGAACCGTATTTTCCACTTGCAGGAATCGGCGGATCTCCTATCGTTGCGCTGGCCCCTTCGGTTCTCCTATCGTTGCGCTGGTCTCATTGGTTCTCCTATCGTTACGCTGCCTTCCTCGGTTCTCCTCAGTCTCGGCTCTCACGTATGGTTATCGCGTACGGTTCTCACGTATGGTTCTCACATGCATGGCGACGAAGCTCCCACGCGTATAGGCCTCCCGCTCCGTTCTTTTCTCACCGCGGCTGAACTAAAAGTACGAATACCGAGAATAAAAACAGAATGCTGGATAATAGACGAGGAATAAAAGCGTTCAGCTGCGGTGCTCGACTTGAAGTGCTTCTCAATGGCCTATCGAATGGAGCTCTTGTAGCCATTGTAGTTAGTGTTGGTGAGCCCTCATTGTAACATATCACTGCTGCAATTGTAACACATCGAGCCATCGATTACCTATTGTCGCAGCACCTCATCTATTACCCATAGCCTTCCTACATAATTCGCTCTAAATAATCCCTTATTGAGCATAAACTGTCCTAAATTATTGTTTCTTCGAGGGTCTGCCACAGGAAGAGGAATGATGCAGCAAGTCAAGGACCGTCGAATGCTTGCCAGCTCCTGCATTTGTATATGCACTTCCATTGCCCGGTGAGAATTCATGTTATGAATATCAAATTTCAATCAGCGAATAACGTTTTTATTACCGTACTAATTCAGCCTCTGAAAAAATTCCATGATGAATTAAACTTTACACAGTAAAAATTCCGACCACAAAAACCCCCCAAAATTGTAAATTTATGCGTGAAATTTCTCTTCCGCGGCAGTTTCCTATATATAGTGGAATTCAATTCGCTATATACTTCACCTCGCTGATATGAAAATATGCGTCGATAATTTGCACCAACCACCTATATACAGCCAAATACAGAGGCAATGACGACCATAATGCCACTTAATTATTACAGGTAATGGGGTTTGCATTTCAAAAGATTGTTCATTAATGTTTTTCGTTTATACTTATATACGGGGACGCAAGCCCCCCAAAATTTCTAAGTCTCGAGATCGAGGAACCCGACGATTGTGCAAGGGATGGAAATTTCCGTGTATTATGATGAAATACGCAGTTGCAGCACGATGCAGTTACTACTTAATTGCAACAGCCCTTTAAGTGTATGAATGTTTGTGTTGCAACAAAGCACCGCATCTTAAAATTTGCAGCAACAGCTTTATATATACCACAGAATTTGCAGTTGTTGCATCATCACACTGAAATAAATGATTGAGAAGTCCAAATGGCGATGCACTTTTTGCCCCTTCGTGGATCATAAATGATTCACTTTCGCCCGGCAATTGAGAACTAAACATTCCTCTATTTGCTCCTGATGTGTGTATAATATGAAGTGCGTGACTATTTGGACAATATAACCCAAATTACTCCTATTGCCTGATGAAAACACAATTGCAGTCGTTGCAGCGCCGTGATGCAACCTTTTATTTAATGGCAGAACGACTATCCACAACTAAATTGGTTGCAGCTGCAGGAAGTTTATATAAAACCCTTAATTCTTTGCAGTCCATAGGTTTATTGGCTGCAACATACGGATGAAGTTGGACGCACAACTCGATCAGTGGATGAGTAGATAATTCAGACATCGAGTGGCCTCCGCCGTCTGCTTAGCTCAGAAGTTTATGATAGCGGCACTTTTATGATAGTTTATGGCAGTTATGTTTTTATGGATCTTCTCTTTATGTTGATGTGGCGAGCGCGTCTCGCTAACAGCTTCATTAAGAACAGCCTTCAATGAGGGAGTAATTGCTGCACCTCCTTGTGGCATCCGAGGCATGTGGCCAGGTTGGGTGTACGTGTAGGGTTTTCTGCTATTACATATGTTGCTACCAAGAGCATGTATGTGGAACATGATGCTTTCTACGTGGCAGGCAGACTTTTACTTACATGTTAGACATACTACTAGTAACGTGTTAGACATACTTCTAGTAACGTGTTAGACATACTACTAGTAACGTGTTAGACATACTAGTAACGTGTTAGACATACTACTAATAACGTGTTAGACATACTAGTAACGTGTTAGACATACCAATAGTAACGTGTTAGACATATACTAGTAACGTGTTAGACATACTACTATATAGTAACGTGTTAGACATATTACTATATAGTAACGTTTTAGACATACTAATAACGTGTTAGATATTATACTTCTTAATTGTAACGTGTTAGACATACTTTTCTACTAACGTGTTAGACATTCTTCTATCTAACGTATTAGACACACTTTAACTAACGTGTTAGATATACTTCTATATACTAACGTGTTTGACATATTCCTTACGTGTTATAGACATACTTCTTCGACCGTATGTAGCAGATTTATGCTATTTTCGTGGTAGACATGCTACTTAATTCTTATGTCAGTCATGATACATTTTATTTATGACAGATATATGCTTTTACTCGCATTTAAGACATAAATTTTCAATTAATAGAGGCGTATCGATTGGATACGCCTGAGCCTCAAATACTATGTACTTGATTAAGGAAATCTTCTTTGAAAATAACAAGTAAACCAATTTTTTAGAGCATTAATTATTAAGTTGCATCGTCAGAACTTCTCCAGGACTCTCATATGTAAAGCTGATAGAATTAAATGACGTGTTTATAATTACTTGTACGGGAAAAAATATTCCTGAGCTTTGTGTTACTTGAATTAATCAAAGAACGATTCGCTGCTCACACATTAATTCTTTGATCGTTTTTTCGCTTGATACAAAATAGGTTCATCACTTTCATTATAATTTTCATTTTGCCGGCGGAAATATGTAAGTTCAATTATATTGCGTGAGCCTTTTATACATATCCCAGTTATAATGATGCCTGCATGTTAAAAAACTTTTAGATTATTCACTAGAGCGCGCTGGAATCGATTGAGTAACGAGTTATATCACAGCTAGTATTTTGTTGGCTAAAATTTTATTCCATCAAAGACGCGTCTAAAATTTCTCAGTGATTGCATTCTTAAACAATTAATAGGAGACTCATAAATTAATTGCCCTGTAGCGTTATAATAATTTAATTAGAGCCATCACTTCTGCACTCCGTTATATTCTTCCTACCTATATAATGCGACTATAACACTTCTCATTCTAAACAAAAATATTTACGAGGTGTACAACTACGCAATTCAATGTACTTAATTTGTGCTACGTAAAACACCTATCTACATGTAAAACATATTTTTTCGCCATATCGACTCAATTGTTGTTTTTAGCGCAATTATTTCCTTGAATGTCCTGAGTATCGATTTTTATAGAGACTATTAAATAAATTTTTAAATTTGTCTTATACCTAATTGTATATTTTAGTATTTACCTGTAATAAAAATGAAATAAATCAAGAAAAGTACGTAATACGTATGAGAAGAAAGTAAGTACATCTGGTAATTATAGAAATGATATAAAAATGTGAAGTTGACAGCTGCTCCCCACAGAGCATTATGGTATTTGCGTTTTGAGTCTATGTCGCATCAACCCCGTGCGAGATGCGCGCGTAAATTGATTTATTTTTTGACTATTCTCACGCACGAATTTCCCACCCCGAAATTAACTTGGTACAGTGTCTGAGATTTATTATGATGTGAACGCGTTCGTATTTGTGATCATAAATTAATTGCTATCTGAATCCTCCAACTGAGACGGTATTGTTCTGCTGTGATCCAATACGAAGGGCAATTAGTTAGCCATGGAATCTCTGGCGTTGATTGATTCCAGCATCTGGACAAGCAATAAGCGATTATTCTAATTCCTTTAAAGACCTACTGAAGGCATCTTTCGCGTTGTTAGCTTCAATGGACTCTTATTTCCTCGTCTATCAGGAAGAGCGAGAAGCACCCCTCTTCTTCCCTCATGTCCGCTATTGGTGCAGGTTTCTTCAGAAGCGCCTCCTCTTTTAACGGCCGAAAGGTCCCTCGCTCCTCCCGCATTTAGCGCTCGCTGTTTTGTGAACGCCTCCTGCCAATATAGTCATGCCAGCCCTCTGGTGAAGCACATCCCGATAACCTAAGTGGCGCAGAGGCGGAGGGATTTGGTATAACTGCTTCACTCTCAGTATAAGTGGTATATTGAAGGCCCCTCCTCTTAATTTACCTGTAATAGGATTGGGTTTGTTAAAGGGAGGAGCAAAGATGATTGCGAAGAGCTTTAGGATCTAGCATTAATAGCCAGTCTATAGATAGCAGTGCTATTGAGAGGCCAGCCGCTTCATTCCCGATACCCAGGCCATCGGTTGCACAATATGCTCGGCAGAGCCTCATTTACCTTGATAGCAATATTGAAAATCGTTGCTTAACTTAACAAAATACTTTACCAGTCAGCGAGACGGTGCCGACTTAGCTCTAAACTTGATTATTTTGCATGCCATGCCCAATACAAACGGTGGATGAAACGTGAAATTCGTTAGTGCCGAATTGTGAGCATCCAGGAAAGATATCGTCTCAGCTAGTCGCGTGGAACAATCTTTCAATTTTGAAAAAATGAATCTGTTATAACATGCTTCATATTGTTCGGGCTCTATATGTGTGAAGAATTATAACACAACTATTTTAATCCGTTTATGGGATTTTCAAATTTCCTGAACTTTGTTGTTTCAGTTGCTTCTGATATTGGATGTGATAAACCTCAAAATGAAATGACGTTACAACAGATTTGAGTTTTAAGTACCTTCCATTGGTTTTACTCTAAGTTAAAACTCGTGTTTAGTGAATAAAGAGAAATTGAGTATTAGTAAGGAAAATTCAAAGCGTAGTTATTAACAATATGAAAAAAATTATAAAATAGAAAATACAAGCATAAGGAATAATTCCTCGCCTGCGGCCATAACACATTTGTTCTACGTGATTTATCTGAAACTTTCCAATCTAAATTTTGTGGAATAAATCAGCAAATCTTTAAAGTTGTTGAGGAGACAACATGTCCAGCGCAGCCGTCAACGTCACATTAGGCGATAAGCCGCAGTCCGCCTTCAGTGCGGTCGTCCGGAAGAGTTTCTCGTCCTTCTCAGTGGACTCAATATTAGCAGGATCCCCCAGCACAGACACCCCTCACTCGAAAGGGGATTCTTCTGCCATTGAAGGTGATTATGCTCACGATTCCGACTATCGTCGGGAGGTTGATGATTATCCGAGTGAGGGTGAGTTCAGATCAGACGATAATTTCCGAAGAGACGATTCTTCTTCTGTTGGCGACGACGTTTTTATTCCCAGAGAGGATGATAGGATCAGAGTGGTGGTTGGGAATGGTGCAGACTCTGTTCAAGAGACCGAAGATCGGGGAGGTGGAGGAGATGGGAATGACGACAGTGGCGGAGGTGAAAACTGTATTCGATCCAATAGCAATTTCCTTGCATCAACACCAAACACAGCCAAATACTTGGGCCTACACGGGGACAGTGCATTCAGGATCGCCACCACAGCAGCCCAGGCTTTCACTCTACTCCACAATCGTCTAAACCGATCTCCGGAGTTACCGAAGGACCGAAGATTACCTCGATCTCCTTCACCACGTACTCCAGGCTGTGATGAAGACATAGAGGACGCCGATGATGACATCCATGTCGACTCTGAAGAACAGGATGAAAAAGAACGTTCTGAACTATCTTCACAGACGGTGGTGAGGCCGACGGCAGTGGGTCCCATTCAAGAGCCCCGGTTTCCTGGGGTAGGTCCTCCAGCTTTACTTGGTCACCTACCGCAACATGGACTATGGCCTTCCTTTCCCTTCCTGCATCACCAGCTCTCCCTCAGAGCCCTTCAGAGTGAGTATTAGCTATACGATGTTACAGTATTGCTCGTGCTCAATTAGGCGCATTAATTTACCACTGAAATTATTAATTTAATTTGCAGCTTTGTTATTATAAGTGCATGCATTCAGATAAGATTCTGACAACTTAATAATTATTTTCAAGGTTGAATTGAGATTTCACTTTACTATAAATGTTTATGCATTTTGGTCTATTTGCGTTTATTTCTTTTGAGTCAGGCATCGAATATTTGAGAAGCCGTTCTATTACGTTATATATTAATCTGGACAAATTAATATCTCAGGAACGTTCATAGATTAGCGTGAAGATAGAGCAGCCACTTACTCATTAATTTAGAAGCAATTTATCGATTAGAGATACATATATCACACTGCAAAGTGATCAATTATGTCTTATTCAACATGGCAGAATTATGTTCCTTAATTAGAACGCAAAAGGGCAAACAAAATTGAATGAAATCTTTAAATCATTTGATTCGATTCATCAATTGAAGAAACCCTGATGTTTTAAAGCTGAAAATGATGGCTTCTAGAATATATAACTGACGCTTTATTATGAGTGATATATATTTGATAGAATCCTCACTACGGAATGAATATTCATGGACATTCATTGGTTGTTTACTTAGAAATCCTTGCGACTGCTGACGATATGAAAGACAATATTAAAACTTGTTTTTCGTCTCTTTAAAATACAACATATTTATCGTTGAATTTAGCCAATTCTTATGCTAATTCCTGTTTGTTATACCTCTAACAGAATCCCCAGAAATGCCCCGCTTCAACGTGCCGATAAAAGTGACGCTTCGCAAGCACAAGCCAAACCGCAAGCCGCGGACGCCGTTCACGACGCAGCAGCTGCTCGCCCTCGAGAAGAAGTTCCGTGAGAAGCAATACCTGAGCATCGCTGAGCGCGCCGAGTTCAGCGCTTCACTTAACCTCACCGAAACTCAGGTCAAAATTTGGTTCCAGAACCGCCGTGCCAAAGACAAGAGACTCAAGGAGTCCGAAATGGAACGAATCCGTTTGGCATCGCATCCTATCGTGCCTCATAATCCCTTCCTACCTCCCACCTCCCTCATACCTCCTTTTCTTCTAAACAATCACCTCATGGCTGCAGGGGTCTTAAGACATGGTCTTCACCCTCCTCCTGTGTCATCCCCTTCCTCCCACTGACACAACTTTGTGTGATACCAGAACTTTCATTTTGTAAACGTTTTTCCCAGTAATTCACATCCTCCATGACATTTTCTTGAACTACAATTATAAATAAATTATGAATCAACGCTAAGAGCGTTATGGATGGCAGCCATGCTTCACTACGAAGCAACGAATATGCTTACTTGATATAAATCCAACCTGTATTACTTAATCAATTGAAAAAAACTTGCGTTTTAAGTTATTTAAATATTCAACTATACACCATTCATTTTATAAATTCACCTTCTTTTTGTAAATTTTTCGTAGAATGTGAACACCGACTGTTATTAATGATTCGGTGGACAATTGCTACATTCCTGTTATTGTTTGTTGCCACTCGAAGGACACTCTTATTTGTAAAGAAGATATACATTTTTAGCCTTTAAATAACTCGGTAGCTTTCTCACATCCTGTGCTATTTTAGAAGAGCGCGGGGCACGAAAATGGAAGCGAGAACATGACCGAGGAAGTCAAATGTGGAGCTCGTTCGCTTAAAGGTGGAAGATTTTTAGCCTTTTGTATATTTTGTACAGAACTTTAATGTATATTCTAAGGCAGCAGTGCAATAACTTTCCATGTGAAAGTCACCCTCGTATCCAGAAGGTATTTTTCTTACTGCACTAAGTTGATCTGCTATAGGGTCAAAAAATTTTTAGTAGTCTTATTTGAGGAAAAATCTGAATTTGAAATGCAACTTTGGCCACCATATGTCTGGGAATATATGTGGCTTTTTCAATGTAATCATCGGCCTCGTGAAAAAGGCAAAATAATAGAATTCATCATGGCCAAACAAATTATACGGCGTTTTATGTGAATAAGAACATTGAATTCTTAAATCTGCATGTATAATGTTTTCCTGAAACTCTGCGCTTCTCCCGTATCATCTAATACTTCTTGTGCCAAGACTAAACTTATTTTTCTCACAATTAACATTTCTTTATTACAGCAATTTTTTAAGTTTATATTCAAAATTTTTTATTTTTTTCAGTTATTCATTCCACGACTTTTTCAGTTCAGGTTTATATTATATTTTGGGATCAATACTCATTGACATTGATCCCACAATTTATTCGACGCATTTTGAATCGTCATTATATGATTCTGCATAATTTTTTCTGAAATCGAATTTTTTCCGAACTCGATTTTCTATGTAAAAAGGCTGATGCACAATAGCAAATTCATCATGCACTTTACAAACAATTTACGGTCATGGTAATAACATAGATGCATGCCATGGTTAGGTGTTCATTTTTCTTTTGAGAGATAAACGATATTCAATTTACTGCAGCTGTCTCGCGGCATGTCTGACGATGAAAATGCTTGTTTGACGCGCCAATGAAAACTGTTTTACTCAAAATGAACCTTCACGAGAATTAGTTTGTCATTCATACCACATTGATTGGTTTGAATTATAAAGAAGTCATTATGTTTTGGCAAAGATATACAGATTTAAGTCGCTATTCTAAAACATTTTAGATGTAAATGCCATTTGGTTTCTTTGCTTACATGGATGGTCTTTATAATATCTTATTTGTTTTCCGGTCTATTGTAAACATCTTGATGAGCCATACATCAATCCTGTATAGCTTATACAAAGAGTTTATTAAAATTTCCTAGTACTGTTTTTGGAAATTGATTTAATTTCACTCATTCTACCCACCATAAATGTAACTAGTTTCCATTTCGACGAACTCTCTTGTTCAACTATTTTAGCTAGGCGGTGCGAAATTCGTTTTATTTTCACACACACACACAATCGATTTTCTACATGAATTTTGACTTCACGTTCAGAGAATTTTTGTTGCTGCCATTGCTGTCGAATTTCACCCTTGATGCATCAAAAGATGCGCTGAAAATTTCTCATCCGTGTAATTGTTACGTAAAATTACACTTTTTAGGATACCGGCGAAGTTTATTAGCGGTTAGTAACGGTTTTTCTATTTTTGAAATGTTTTACCATTAGTGAAAAATTTGCTTGAATGGTAGGGGGGCTGCTCACTACAAATCTTTTACAAAACAAGAGTAATTCTTTACAATATACATACGAGTTCAGGTGCCTTCCTAATTATTGTAAATTTTAGCGACAGTTTTGAAATAGGTTCGTGTTCTAAATTACCAAACCCATTCCATACTTAGAGTGCATCTAGAATTATGATGTCTCTTGAATGTGCCAATAATAAACTGTTGTTAACGTACCGTAAAACCGTCATGAAACCAAAAGCAAGTAATACAGTCTTGAGGTTGGAACCAGGTTGGGTTCATATGTGCTACCTGTTCCTATCTTATCAATATGTGTGATAAAATTTTTAATCCTGTGTTATTAATTTCTGGGCTCACATGATTTATATCTATGTTTTGAATTTGACTGGCAATTCAAATTACTCGTGTTTTTTAGAATTTCATTTTTCGGCGTTAATTTTTTCACGGTGAAACTCCAATGGGATAAAGGTAATTCGATAGGTCGTATGTTATGGAGCTTCCAAATCAATAGGGATCGTCTCCGATAGAAACTTTAAAACCAGCATTTTTTTCGAATTCAAGACATCCGAATGATTCGTCCCTGTTGTTGTTTAAATAGGGACGGTTCAATGTTGCTACATATTCAAATTTTCGGACAAACCACGAAATTGAATTTGATTCGAGTCATTGGTAACAATTTTTGCTTACTCGTAATTTACTTGTTTGGCGATTTGCTCAACAAATTACCGAGAGCATCGTTATATATATTTCCGGCCTTGTACATTTTCCAAGCTATATGCAAAGTCTGACTTTGGTAAATGCGATGTATTGTTTATGTATGAAATTCTTCTTTTGGTACCTTCATTATTCGTGTATCCTTTTCCAAATGGATTAAGAGAGTATAGATAGTTTACTTGTGTATATTATGTTTGTCTCTCGAGAGTTAAAGATGTTTGTGTGTTATTGCTGTTTCCATGATTCTAACCTTTCGGTCTCACATATAGTTAACAAAAGTTCACCAGTATTTCGAGGGTTTAAATAATCGGTCAGTTTGAGGCATCCTCGAAATCGTACGATAAGAAGTACTTTGCTATGGGAATCATAGTCGATACATTTTATTTGTATGGTAGATAATATGCCGCCTATTTCATGGCTGGTGTTGTTTACCGTTCATAGTTTCAGAGCACAAAATTTTCTACCAGAATACCGCCTTTGAGAGTTTGCCATTTAAAGCGGATTGGATTCTCGAGAATGTGTTTTGTAATGAATTTTTAGGCTAAGACTTTTTAGCCAAATTTCTTATTAATTTGAATCATGCAATGATATTATACATTTGACTGTTAAAATATATATGGTACGTGTGTGTATTGTTCCTCTGCCTTATATTAAACGTTTCTATTGACTCGAATACTCGTTTACCATTCTACCTCATATATCTTGGTGATACAAGCTTCCAACTATGCCACCATTAATTATTGTCAATATTCCTTATTATCAATTATCATTATTATCAATTATCTTAATTAATTATCGATTCCCTTTCATATGCTGAGGGTTCGCAGTATCTCTACTCTTGCCACGTGGTGCAATCATGCTTTAGTCTTGAGTGAGGGCTCACATGTTAGAGGAAGCGTGCCATGTTGTTCATAGTTCAAATATCATATTGACCCATTTATTAAAATTGAGTGCACCTTTGCTTTCACTTATACTCAAACTATATGAAGAGTTTTATTCTTTTAATCAAATATACGTTAAATGATCACGAATAAAAGATCAATTAATTGAACTGTAAACAACCTATAGCGACTTTGGCTTGATATTATTATCATTATTATTGTGAGCAATGAGTTTTCTTAGGCAAAATTGAAGTTCAAGCGTGGAAAATAAATTAGTGGAATTATGCTGGAAATCGTGCATGAATAAGATCACTTACACGTAATTGAATTAGGCTTACATAACACAGAAAATTTAGGCCGGGAAATTATTTAATGATCTTTATCGTGCAACTTGAAATTATTTAGCATGTTAATGCAATAATAATGTTATTAAAAAAAATCAAAAATGTTTTGTTTAGGAGATTTAAGAGTTTCCAGAACAATGGCTGCACTTTAATTATAGAACAAACGTCAAGTTAAATTCACAGAGCATTTGCTTGATGCTCATAAATACAAAAATTTTTCTAATTAAACTTGAAGTGACTTACTCTGTGACAGATTTTAATGTGCGCTACTTATGTGGACGAGCTCGGAAATCGCTTGTGCCTGCCATTTTTTAGCGACTCGATTGTTAGTTCTCTGCATCACGATGATATTGGGCGTGTTTAAATTTTTTATGAAGATAAACGTCGATGTTCTGCTGTGGCGCGAACTGAAAAATTCATTTTTCGAGCGTTTTGATCCTAATTTTGCAGCACAATTAAGACGCCTCAAATTGTTGGCGCAACTGTAAACTGACATATTATACGGTAAAACAAATTTTTATCGATGGAGTCTTCAGTTTTATTTAACCAAGTAGTACACATTTTTTATTCATAATTCCCATTTGTCTACTAACAAATCAGTAACTTATCATATTGGCACATGAAAAACAGCGGGCCTTCCTTCAAAATTAAATGTATTTGATCAGTAAATGAAAGGAACACTAGCAATTAAATGTAAAATCAAGCCTTGCCTTCATGGGTGTGCGTTAATGAAGAACCAAGGTGTAGGTCAAGAGCGTCATTCTCTTCATCACAATGAAGTTAACGCAAAATTTAAGCAAAACAAACAAAACTTCTTGCTTCCAATTAAACTTCAGCGCGCAATAGACAGCTAATATTTTTTTCACGCCCGACTACTTTAATAAGTTTGTGAATAATAAATTAATAAATAAATTAATACGCTCATGCATTAAAACATTTCATGTTGAGCCCGTTTTTTTAAAGAATCTCATTTACTAATGTAGATTAAAGGTTAAATATGTTAATTAAATAGTCAAAGACTTCAGCTTCCTTCACACGCACCGATTCCATGAATGAGTGCATCAAGTTCTATTCATTTCAATAGGGAAAGTCGGGCTGTGCAATGGAATTTGAAATGATTCAATCACAATGTTAATTGCAATTCAAAAGCAACAAATTTATAAGAGAGTCTAGTAAAATTTCTTTTATTTCCTTCAAAAATTTCTTTATTTCCTACATGACGGCGAATAAGAGAAACAGACGGAACAAAATGAGAAAGTATCTCATTACGAAATTGATTGTCAGTTCTACCGATGTCT